CAGCACTCTGCACCTGCAGCGCCCGGCTCCGCACCACGCTTTGTTGGACTCAGGCTTAAGTGCTTTTCCCTGGGCTCAAAGCACCAGGCAAACGCAGGGAACAGGTTCGGCTGTTAGGAAGATGACTACGGAGCGTCGGGGTGTTGGATGGAAGTGTGGCCGCGCGCTCCTCCCTCTCCCCACGCACACAAATGAGGAGGGGAAGAGCCTGGCCAGCGCGGCACTGCTGAGGGCCCAGGGTTCGGTGCTTGTCAGCACCTTCTGGGGCGCCCGGGACAGCCCCGGGGCGTCTCGTGTGAGCAAGCTGCCAAACTTGAGCGCTTAACAGCAGTTYTTCACCTCGCTTCAAACCAACAAGGGAAGAAGCAAAAGGTGAAGGCGCCAGGAGAGCGTCTTCCGTTGCTAAAGCGGAGGTGGGATGGAAAAAGACATTGTGACCTTCAGAGAGGACCTCCCAAGAGGTTCTCTTGACAGTGACTGCCCTATGTTGGTGGTCATGGCCACCTAGCAGGCTCACAGGCACATTCAGAAGCACCTCTGCTTCTAAATCCCCAAACACGATCCCACCGCACCGCTCCACACTGGAACCCAATCACCAGACACCGTCTTCCCTCACCCCAACTTGTCTCACGGATTGCCTGGCCAGTTTGGTCTTCCTGACCCTAGAGCAGATGGATGTGGTTCTGAGTGGCACCAATGCGGTTCCTCAGCAGCTCTTCCCAAAGCTCCTAAGATCCCGCRTCCTGTCAAGGTTTACATGTGCCCATACACCACAAAGTGGCACAAACCTGTCAACTGTCTTGGAGCTACCACCAGGAGTCTTCCTTGTCCTGCAGCACCACAGAGCTAGGCCAGGCTGCTTCATCAACAGCAGAGATTCCCACATTAAYTGGCCAGAGCTTAAAGGATTTCCAGCAGATCTAGTTCCTCCATACTGCAGATGGAAGTGGGGGTAGAGAGGAGTYCGTACTCTGCTGAAAACAGATGGTCTTTTGGCTCTCTCAGATGATTTAGCTCYATTCTGCCTGCCAGCAGGTCAGTGCAGCTATTACATGTTCAGAGTGGAAAGGCCACTTGCTCATGTGCCTGATGGCACTCACAGCACAACATGCAGCTGCGCTTGGGTGCCAAGCATGGAAGAACACCTACGTCTTAATTTTGAAGGCGTTAAGTGACCGAGATGCCATCCCACCTCTTGGGGAGATGTTCCAGGTGTTGCTTGTCTTATCAAGAACTAAAATCTTCTCCAAACTTTAACTTCCCAGCTTCCTTTCATTAATGGACCTGCAGACACAGGTTGGGTGGCAGTACCTACCACAGGGCTCCATCACAAGCASGTCCTGCAGAGCACCACAGGGGCTGGAGGCCAAACAGTGCCCAGACCACGCAGGGAGAGCCCTACTCAAGCCACTGAGCTGTGCTCWCATCACGTAGCTCTCAACTCGTTGCTCTGGAAATCCGCTCTGCGCTGCCCATTAGCTCTGCTCAGCTCACGTCCCCACCCAGGGCCTCCAAGCAGATCCCCAAAAATAACCATCCCACAAAACCAGCTCTCGGACCTCGCCACTCCGCCCTCAAGGTGCACAGACTACGCTGCCTTCTGCACACAACGGGAGAATTCACTCCTCTGTTTATAAGCTGCTTATTTGCAGTTCCCAAATACAAATTATTTTCAGGCGAGGAGGTCGGGGAGGAGATTTGGGGGTTTCTTTCTGGTTCCAGGTGGTTCACGTCTAGTCCTGCTGCTCTCCTGCCTGCTGCCCACAGAGCACGGTGTCATCCCATGGCTCTGATAATGTCAGCGTGCTCGCAGAGCCAGGTTCACACCACGTATATTCTGGTTTGACCAGCACACTCACCTATACATTCATATACAGCGCTTGTGTTTTCTTTACTCTGCYTGTGACTCACGGCACGTCGAGGTGACAAAAGGCAGCACTGGACACCTGGTCTAGGCTTATGATGGAAACCGTGGAGGAATCTCCTAAATCCACCACAAACCCAGCAAAGTGTTGGCTCAACTTTCACAACTGGCTTAGCCCCCAGACCACRAGTTGGTCCATCAAGACGTGATATCCAGATGCCAAAGAGATGCCTGCCACCCAGCTTGTGCATAACACATGGAAAAGACCAAGACGAGGGCTTCCTGTTGAAAAGTGCAGGAACTGAAGTGATGGAGCTCCCCATGACACATGCCTGCATCTACTGAGAGGAATTTCAGCTAGGCTGATAGTGCTGCATTTCTGTCACCAGAAGGGCTGGAAAGGTAAAACCTGGCAATTTTCCATTTTTGTGCCGACAGGCCTGGAAAAGCACCGCGTCTCCAGCACAGCAGATGCTGTGACAGCAAATGTGCTGGGTTGAAACTCATGCAGATCCATGAGTGATAAAGAAACGGCAGCGACGGCTTCAGGAGCCCACCTGCRTTTTCAGGTGACCAGAGCTGTCATTACGGCACTTACAGAGGCGCCACCAAGACACTTGAGGCTCATCAGCACTAACACCCACACCAGCTCTAGGCCAGTCCGTCTGGCCTCTCAGGGTCAGGAGGGCTGAACGTGCCACGTCCCCTTGGCCGGCTCCCAACGGTGTCATCTCTGTGGCAAGCAAAGCTGTTCAGCATCTCCTACAGCACACACTGATCACTGCAGCCTCGGGTACCTGGGAAGACTCTAGTGAGCTGGGGAACACGCTGAGATCCAGAAGCTTGGATGCCCTTGCAGGGGGCTGCTTCTGCCTGCGTGGGTTGGAGGCTGGACGGGCAGGACGAGCTTTTATGGTGCTAGGGAAGGAGGGGAGAGTCCTGCTCAGCTCTTGCTGGAGAAGGCGAGGAAGTTGAGTCACAGCAAAACCCACTGCTGTGGAGCACCAGAAGGGCTGCTACAGCAGCTCCCCTTTACCAGCAGGGACGCCAAATCACCTGCCAGAGAAACAAGCAGATGTAGCACAGCACGTGCCTTCCGCGTGACCATCCCTGAYGGGATGAAAGGCATTTCTGCAGGAGAGGAGCCTGCCTCTGGCCGGGCAAATCCCCTCAGAGGCCGGGTCAGGCCCGAGCGGCAGCGAGATGCCACCGCTCTGTGTCACACCAAAGGGTGTCATGACCCTCTAGGAGGGCAGAGAAGGGAAAGAGGCCAAAATGAACCCCCAAGGGAGGCGTTTCTAGAATGATTAAAGCAAGTCTTGTTTGCTCTGTGCTCCTGAAAGGTATTTGGCAGATAACATCTGACTCCAGAGAGCCCAAGCAAACTTCCTTGCCTGTTTTAGCGGACACATCCCCAGCTTGCAGCGAAGCAATTGCTACAGCTTTTCATGTGGATTTGTCCCTCTCTGCTCTTAACTCTTTGTGTCTTCCCTTTGGCCACGTGAAGCAACAAACTAGCAAGAAGTTCGAGCTGAGGGGATGGCAGAACAAGGGCACATTCTCTGCAGAAGAAGCAAGTCTCTTGCTGGTTTAATCCCACAGTGATGGCACAGTTGGATCTGTTCTCTTTATGCCTCTAAAAATAACAATAAAATATTGTATTTCCTAACTTTAGCYCCACACCTCTGGCTGGTGTGGTTTAGTTACCTGCAGGTAAGAGCCCAGAGAACTCAGGATATTACAGTTCTCACCACGCAGCCTCGCACACTTTGATGGGTACTGTCCCAGTTGGCCTCTCAACTTCAGGCTAACACGTTTTGCAGCCACAACTCTGCTTTTCTCAGGCTATGGCACCTCAAGACAGAAACAACTAAAATAACCCAAAATATGATTAATTCAAGACCAAAAGGAAGCTCAGAAGGATGAAACAATTTGACTCTCTTCTATAATAATATTTTCTATTACTACCCTGCTTTGATCCTAGGCATTACAGAAGTCTCTAAAAACACAGACATAAGCCCAGATCTTCCCAGGGTGAACAGAGCCCAGGACCTCCAATATTTGCCCACCAGTTTGGAGAAAAAGAGTTAAACAAGGAAGTTTAAGTTCACTTTAACACACTCAACAGGGATGGGTGCTCCGCATCCCTGCTCTTGCTACAGCAATAGCAGCTTCTCCTCAGGGGCTCTGCCAGGCCAGGTTTCAAAGTTGATTCTTTCCCTACACAAGAACACTGGGTTAGCTTCAAAACACAACAAAACACAAAAAGAATAGAGCTTRGTGTTCTCCTTGTGCTCCTGAAACTCTGAAGCTGCTCGTTGCCTGCAGACAACATTGCTGTTAGAGTCTAAACAAGCAGATCAATGCAACAACAGAAGAGCACTGCTCACATCATGCTGGGTGCAAAGGRTGGGTTTTACCAATTCTGCCCCAAATTGCAAGGAGGCTCAGGGAACTGATACATAATTCACTGACTGACATGCCAACCTGCCTCCAAATGGCACGTGGCGATCTGCACCATTGTCCAGCTATTAAATTCTCAGAGAAATGTTATACTGTTTCCTATACCTGCATGGGATGATTATTTTATTTTTAATCTTCTCTTAGTTCTCTCTTTTAGAAGGGCTCAAAAAGAAAGCTTAACTAGAGTGGGTCTGCAGATACATGGAGCTATTCCATGCTACTCTGTCACCTCCTGTGCCCCCACCTATGTACASAACCCTGAGGAGATCCTGCCTGCTCAAGCCAAAAGGCAGTCCTCTCAGTTCGGGTCTTGGGAATTGCCTTGAGAATATGTCTCATGGCAACATTCATCGTGGGCACCATCAATTAAGGCTCAGAGGTGCACAAATATCCAGCCCTCTCCTCACCACAGAGCCTGATTTGGCTTGAAGAAAGGAACTCAAACGACCATCTGAGAGAATTCAACCATCAGGAAAGGACAAGGTTTTAGATCAGGAACGATGCAGTGAAGAAGTTAAAGAGTGAAGTTCATTATGCTTTTCAACTTGGCTGCTTTCAGCAAGGGCCTGACCAGGTGAGATTGCTCTCCAGGCTGCACTGAAGAAGGGTTCTCCTGCAGCGCCTGCCATTTGCTCCTCTCCATCCCCTCCTCTCCCACTCTCCCAGGGCTCACCTGTAGTCCCGAGTGAGGGTGACACAGGACTCCTCCTTCCTCAGCCTGGCCAGCAGCGCTCCCCCCTCTAGCTGCAGCTTGACCAGCCGCGTGTCTTCAAGGACGTTCTTCATCAGCTGCCTGTAGTTCCGCAGCAGAACCGCTGCCTCCTGCAGGGATCGGGAAACAAGCGGCTGCTGCACSGTACAGGCAACGAGGGTTCCACCAAAAACCCCATTCCCAGCCCAAAACACACACACAAACCACGTGTCAGCCCCTCACCTTGCCTACCCTGAGAAAGAAGGGGTGTTGGTTAGTTTTAGCCTCCACGATCGTGAACCTCAGCAACAAGCAGCTGCTGTAATTAAAGGGTCTCTGCTTCACGCTCATCCTTTTAACACAGCATGATCCTGCCCTGCCTCTCAGTCCAACTGGCTCCGTTATTATCCATTAATTGAATCGTTAGAAGCTTAGTGGCAGAGAGAGAACAAGAATCTGTTCTTATTTATCACTCTTTCCCCTTCGCTCGCTGGTAAAGCAAACTGGAAGAGATTTGTGCATTGTCACCAAAACCTGTATTAGCCAGCAGAAATGGGGGAGGAAGGAAGACACATTTTCCTAAGGTCTTCTTTAAGGTCATTTCTGCCTGTAACTCCTCTGATGCTAATATAGATCAGTGCTGTTTGGTAGAAAAACGATCTGATCCTCCCTATGCGACCGTCCCTCCCTCACACAGCTAAAAAAGCAATTTTATTCCATGCCAACACAGCCTCAGAAGCCCAAGTACAGGCAACCTTGCTGCAGGGCAAGAGGAAAAACAGCTGAGCTGGTTCCCTGCGCTTTGTTCCCACTCCTGCCTGGCCATSAACAGAGCTGCTGGTTCTCTCTGGGGTTCCTATTTCCTACCAACGCTACTTTGTCCCTGCTAATTATTCTTCCCACCATCCCTTCCCTGTCCCTGCCTCTTTTTTTTGCTTCTGTGAGGCCTTCACAGGGTGGGAGGTCTCTTGGGACGACACTGAGGCCTCAGAGAAGCAGCTTCTGCTGCCACGGGGCTCTTCTGTGCTCTCACTTTCCTTGCCCTGGGTCCTACAGGCCCTGCTTGCCTGGCACCTCTGCAGGGGTGCGCGGAGATGTGGGGGTTCTGCAGGTCCCAGCCCTCTGCTCCCCTGTCCCAGGCCCACGTGTGACAGAGGCCACTCTCACCTCAGCTCTTGCCGGGAGGCTTCCAGACTCCACACTACAAATGGCTCCCTGGAGGAAGGCACAGGCACCTTGGCATCCTTGCAGCAAATGCTCCAGCTTCTACAAGAGGAAAGGATGGAGGCAGAGCTGATCATCTCAAGGCAGAAGAGAAAGACGTCTCCTCCGTTTCAGAGGGTKAGAAGGATGAACATCACCAAGAGAGGATCCAACTCGTTAACCCGAGAGCTCAGTTAGGCCAACCTGCAAGGCTGCATGACCCACCAGAGGCTTCAAACACAAAACACGTTGTGCTTTAGAGAAAGCAAATTAGTACATTGGAGATCCTTATTCTTCTACTATTAGCCCTTCTTATAATTTTTCCACTAAGGTAAAATATGATGGCTGCAGTTTGGAGGAACGAACACTAGGATGAGTACTTGGAACTTCCAGAGCTTAAATCATTCCTCCTTATACTAAGAATGGTGTAAATTAAAGGTCAGGAACCTGGCAGGCTCCCACAATGCGAACAACCCACCTGAAATTACTGACAGATTTGAAATCTCTTCTGGAAAAGAACAAGCGTGTTGAAGCTGTGGGGGAGACCACTCTTTAGAAAAAGCCACCAACTGATGCTAAAGCAGTGCTAGATGCCACCTTCTAGTCACTGGAAGCAGAGGCGGGACAAACAGGTGGGACAAAGCAGGCTCTCACTCAAAAAAAAACAATAAAATAAATAGTTGTTTGATGCTGTTCCCAGTGTGGAAAGTTTGAACAGCCCCAGTGGGGCCAGATGAGTGGGCAGGATGCAGGTGAGATCACTGGGAAGGGAAATAAATGTTGTTTGCTGCATAGCGGTGGATCTAAAGCAGCTGAGCAAGTGGGTCACCATCACACAGGCTGCATCGTATGCAGCCAGGCCAGGCAGCCACCTTGAGCTCCACTCAACGTTACCCTTGGGTAACGTTCTGTGTGTTAAAGTGTAGGACACTTTAAAAGCTTTCCACCCAAAAACGGGGTGATGTCATCAGTGGCACTCTAACCAGCTTCAGATGCTGTGCTGTGAGCCAAGCACCACTGCGGGCAGCGGGAGCAAAGCTGAAAAAAAGGCAAAATCTCCTGGAAATGGAAGTGACACTTCCCTCACCCACAAGGGAGAGGAGGGCCAGTGCAGTGTGAAGACAGCCGGTTTGGGAGCAGATTTACTGGGCTTAATCCTATTTAGTCCCAGCGTGTYAAGTCATGTCTCAGCCTCACTTGTAAGGACTCAATAACCACAGGATCCTCGGGGCTAACGCTGCCTCTGCAGCACGAGCACGTGCAGCTGGCACCGGGGCCACAGAAGGGACTTCAGTCGACTACAGGCAGCCCYATATGTCCTGCTGCATGGCCAGCACCACCCACAAGAAGCTTGTGGTGACTGGACATACCCAAAGGGCCAGACAACAAGGAGGAGGGCTTCTGGGGTCGCCTCTGACTGTCATCTCCGTCCTACTTCTCCCTTGGTTCCACAGGGCAGCTCTCAGAGAGAGGAAACGCTCGGCTGAGCCGAAGCCACTTGAACTGAGATGCTTTCTAAAGAGTTCCTATTTCATGACAATTCTGAGAAATGCTTGAACTGTAACTCAGGGAAGGAAAGAAAAGTTCCTAGAAGTATCTGACCAGACTATCAACAATTTCAAAGCTTTGTACCTGCCAGGATTGCAGTTTTCACTATRGAGCTCTTGGCTTCCTCTGGGGAACCCACTCCCAAACCGGCAATCTAACCATTTGTTTTTATTATTCCTTGACTGTTAGTGTCGTGGCAACGTGATACTAGTCCCAAAGAGGTAATTAACAGGTTGAGCACATCCCCACTTACCATGCGGAAGCTTAACCAGTCCTGGTGGCAGTAAGGGAAGGTCCCATCCAGTTCTGGAGGCAGCTGCGAGGCGTCTATGTGCTTATGGAGGGACTTCATGGAGGTGAGAAGCTCAAACTGCACAGGAAGGAAGGAATAAAAGCACAKTGGTGTTAGAGAAAGAGCACCCAGGAGTGGCTCGGAGGGGGAGGTCAACAAAACACAGCGCCTCTTTCTCCATTAACCTTGCCTAGAAACAAGGTGTACACTTGCTGTTTGACTGTGAAATGAAGGAAGAGAAAAAAATCAGCTCCGAGCAGCTTGTGGCAGCGCTCAGTGGGTGAACCCGGAGGGAATTCAAGCTCTAACACGCAGTTTCACCAAGCGAAACATCTGGGATCCGAGTCTGGCAGCAGCCGGGCTTTTCTAGAGCAAATACCTCCCGGGATAACTCACATATGCTCACATCTTGTGCTGCAAATCGCATTTGTTTGGAGCAGTTGAGGAACTAAATCCAGCTCCCAGCCTCCCTGTTTATTCCTGGAAAAAAACAACACCCTTAATGGAGCAGTTCCTACTCCATCCACAGCTCGCTGATATCACGGTGGTTTTTGCCTCACACATGTTTCCCCGATCTCGACACAGGTATTTTCCTTCTCTGAAGCTGCAGAATCTCAACAGAATATTTTATACTCACCAGAAAAAAATGAGAAAAAGCAGAGAGAAACCACTCTGGGCACAAGAACCTTCAACCCTGCCCACATTGCTCAGTTTCTACTTCTTTAAGAAAYGGGGATGTTGCTTCCAATTCCTCCTGCAAGCCCAAATCTTTATTAGCCTTTGCTCTGCTCCCTCCTACACACTTTGGATTCGTTCTGTGTTTTTAAATAGCGTCTCCCGTAGCTCTTCCTGCAGGAACATGTACCTGCACACAGCAGTTCCTCACTCCAAATTCCTTCCCGGGGGAGCACAAGAGGAACCAGACTAATGGTGTTTGGATCCCTTAGCTTTCAGGGGCAGCACATTTGCACACAGCCTTCTCCCCCACAGCAAACACGATGCTGGTGACAACGTTTTCATGCACAGAAGYCAAAAGGCAAGTGCTGGCCCCTCTGAAACGAACAGGGTTTCACTTGGCACAGGCTTTCAGTCCTCTCTTGCAGCTCTTAACTTCCCTCAAGCAGCAGGAGGTGACTAAGCTGCGGAGTTTGATGCTCTGTTCCCTCACCACACACAACTCAGAAGTGGCTGAGAGCTTACGTTTCATATATAGCTGTGGGATGCCAGATTAAACTCAAGTGTGGGTGTTAAGTGGGTTGTAAGGCTTTTCTCTCCCCTATTAGCACCTTCTACCAACCTTTCCAGACATTTGAGCTGCAAAGGCAGCACTGCACACACAAACACATCTCCTCTTCCTCTCCTTGCAGCAGCTAGGAGAAAGCATGGGGCAGGGGGGCAAAAGGCTAGAAGCAACAATTGCCTTCACAGAATAGGATTTAGCCAAATGGGACTCCTTCCAGAGCAAGGATTTTCCAGATATATATCAGTGTATAGGGAAGCCACGGTTCAGAGTGAACACAGCACCTCAGCAGCTCCCCAGCAACCCCTGAAAACCAATTCAATTACCTGTCCCGCTGTTGGCTTCTCCATCCGAAAAGTGAGGTCTCTTTCAACCAGAAGCAAGACTCCATGAATACAGTGCGGGTCCATATCCTGGAGCAGAACAGGGAGCAAATCCATTACCTAGCTGTCCAGTGTGCTAAGGGGAACAATTTTAACTCAGTGCAAAGAGCTCCAGTTTATCCTTCAAAGCTTGTTTGCAGAGCTGGGAATGTAGTGGTCAGCTAGAGGGAAGGCCCTTCAACAGAGCGCTAATGCTGCGTCCTAAAGATAACCTGTTTCAGATCARTTAGTCTTGCAGTATTTAAGGAAGCACCAAAGAGGCCAGGTCTGGGCTGCCCTCTACAGAGGGAAWTGTCTCAGAAAAAAAAAAGATGTCCACGTTCAATGTCCATTTTTCTTTTCCTGGTAATTTCCTGGACTCTCCTCCTAACTGAAGGGAAGTTTATGTCCCCCAGAGCCAAAAACATCATCTTGTCTCTACTTACTACCAGTTCACATTCAAGGAGTTGCATCCTGTTGCTGGTGTCTAAGAGGGAGCGACTCCCACTACAAGGGACGTCTGGCAGCKGCAGCTGAAGCTCTGTGATCCAGGAGTGCTCCACAGGGAAGGGAGAAACAGGCAGAGGGAGCAGAAACGGGGCAAAAGCAGCAAAAAGATCCATCCTGGGGGGAAAGGGTTCCCTAGAGAAGTGGTGCCCTGTGCTGGGGTAGCAAGGAGAATGTCTAAGTGAGTTGTTGTCATCTCCCATGGTTAAGAGCCACCCAGACTAAACGTCATGACTCTGCAAAGATCTTGTCAAGCAACAAATCCTTCCTGGTCTTGCTCCAGCTGCAGGGAAGCTGCCATGCAGCAGGACAGGACGACACGAGAGGGAAAGAGGGAGGAGAGATTTTGGAGCAGAAAAAGATGTTTCTCTCATCTAATGCGAAGATAAAAGATCCTTTTGAATGGGAAAAGCAAACAAACAAACCAACAAAAGAACCCACAACACTTCTCCAAACAGTAAGAGGTGGCTTGGCCCTCTCCAAGCTGAAATGAGTGTGTTTCTTCCAAACAACTTCTTCACACATTCCGTGTTATTTGAACACGGATCAAAAGGCCAGCAAGAATTTCTTACGTCACTGCGCTGGGTTAGGTAAATAGCAAAGTGCATCTGGAGAGAGGATGGAGAGAAATTAGAGCTGGGTCAGCAGCTCTGCCTGCTGGAAAGTACTGAGGGATCAAGAGCAGCCAGTTTGAAGACAGGTCACAGCACTGAATATTTAGTGAATTCCCCTTTTTCACAACCCTTCTTCTATTCCAACAGAGCCATGCAAGGTACAAACGTAGGAGTGAGGAATAAAGGGAGCARTGGTGCAATGTAAGGTTACAGCTAGGGCCAAACATTTGCTTGTAGCTATTGAAAACAGCCTGAAAAAGAAAATTCGCCAGTAAAGCTGTCAGGGGAGAAGTTCAAGGGCTTCCAATCCAAGAGAAAAATGTATTTCCAAAGCAACTAAGCATTTTCCACCATATTTTTTTTTTCCTGTAAACAGCAGAAGTTGATCTCATCCAGTGCTGATGGATCCATCCAAATGGACCAAGGCAGTTCCCAAGAGAGCTCCAGGAGGAGGAGAGCTCCAGCTTTGGGCAGCCGGATGCTTCAAACCTTCTGGTTCCCTGACCCAGATGAAAGCCCAGGGCCAGACTTAACCACCCTGGCAAGCAAGGCCTGCCAGGAACAACCACGCMGATGCAGTAAATCCCAAATACCACTTGATCTCTTTTAAAGGGAGATCCACTAACAGGCTAACGGGACGTCCTAAGGACCCTAAACGGGTCTTCAGCACCAGGCCGAGGTCCCTGGTGCTTTTCCCATAACAGAGCATGTAAATATACGTMTTGAACAGCAAGGTTTAGAAAGAAGCTTTCTGCTTTGACCTGCCTGTGTAGTTCTTTGCCTTCATAAAGCACTTTTCCCTTCCCAAGCCAACATGCAGAGGCAGCAGGTTACAGGATTAAGCATTTGCTCTGGCACGCCAAACAACCGGGAATCTTGCTCTATCGAAACACTGGCAGAGGAAAATCCTGCGGGCATTTGTTAGCTGCAGCCCAGCCCACACATTCCGCTGCTCACTGACCAAGAGCCTGGACTGGGGCTGCTGAAARACGGACTTCAGAGCGGGCTTCCCAGCACCGGGAATGCTGAGCTGTCTGGGGACAACCCGGGATGAAACCTCTCAGCAGCTCTCGTGGAACCTCTCACAGCTTCCCATAGGAATGAGCATGATCTGCCCCTGCAGCACGGACACGCTGTGCATTTCCCTGCAGCTCCATAGGGAGTTTCTCCTGCTCCTGCCTTTGAGATCTTCCCTTCCCAAGGAGGATCTACAGGGTTAACCCCTCGGAGGCCTGCGGCAGGGAAGGACTTGGCATTAGGTCAGCGGATCCACTCTTAGTCACTGGCACTTTGTTGTTGAGTCAAGAGCAAAAGGTCCCTTCAACCCTGAATGAGCAACGCTGGATCTCACCATTTAACCAGATTTCACCAYGGCTTCCAGAGCGGGCTTCAGGAAAGCCAAGGAATTCAAATTTTGTTCATGGAGGGAGCAGGACAGCAGAGGGATGAGCAGAAGGGATGGTCTGCCAGAGGTCAAGAGATACCCAGAGATGTACGGGGGATTTCAGAAGGGACTTTCCCTCTGAGGCCTRGCTATAATTTTCTTGACATTTCTGTCCTCATCTAAAGACAGATGACCATGGTGGGAGCATGGAGGTAAAGGCCAAGGATCTCCAGAAAGGCTCAGGGGAGCCAAGGAGTTACCCCTGGGCAATAAGCAGACAATAAGTTACCCGAATGGGTCTCATTTATGGACTCAGAGTAAGGATCAAGAAATGCTGAGCAGAGTGATCAACCCCTGCCAGCTACTGCCATCTGGAATAAAGAAAATGGCTTTACTCCTTCCCCGCTGTATGAGACCGGGGACTAGACTCATTTCTGGTCCCACAGCACCACATCCCAACACGTCGCTGGTTTCTAACTCATCCCACTAGGACACGGCCCAGGGAAGGAGGAGGGCAGAGCTCTGACTCAGCCCCAGCTCCCAGCTGGGTCACCGAAGCGCAGAAACCACAGGCCTCATTAAAGCATCGCCCTGGCCCAGTTTGCAGAGCTCCAGGCTGGGGACACCTACCCGGTCTGATTTAGAGGAACRCCTGCTTCACCGAGATTACTCACAGCGACACCCCAGCGTCTCCTTGGGCTTTCTAATGAGCAGCAGATGGAAGCAATGTGGGACTGGTGGCAGCGCAAGCCACTTGCTTCCCAGTGAAAGCCTTTGACCTGGAGCAATGCGGGGTTACAGCACGTCTGGCTCCAATCATTCCCTGACACCCCCATCATTTGCACGTGCTCTTAGACCTGCCACGACAAGCTGTCCTCCCTCACTGCCTTTTCATTTCTCTTCCCTTTTTCCTCCATGGTGGCCCTGTGGATTTCACACGGCTTCTCAGTGCCTTGGCTGACATCTCCGAGCACATCATCATTTAGGCTTGGGTAGGGGCGCTTCTCAGCAGAGGCTGAAGACAATCTGAAGGTGGAGGAGGGCCTGCCCCTAACTCAGACCTGCCTGGGTTTTTTGGCCTTGTTTTCAGCTTGGCAAATCCAGGTCAGAAGGGGGTTGGCTGCTCCCTGCCCAAAGATGACCGAAATGCAGGTGGCAGATGGAGACGGGAAGGGCAGATGGAGACAAAGCGTCCCAGCAAGGCAGCGAGCCGAGGACGCGGGCGCTGCGCTGGCCGGGCTGGCCGCTCACCTGCAGGATGCTGAACGCCTTGAAGAGAGCGGGAAGCGGGGAGCAGCGCCGAGCATCCACGAGCACGGTCAAACCCAAGGCCTGGCATTCTGGCCTGCAAGGACAGAGATAAAAGAGGTCATGCTTGTCACCTGGGGACCAAGGCTGCTGAAAGCTTCAGATATGGCAGGGTGAAGAGAAGGTGAGAGCTTTGGAAGGGCAGGCGGTGCAAGAGGAGCTGTTGCAAACACCAGTCTGCAGCCTCCAAAAAGGATYACGGGCCACATGCCAGGGCAGATTTCTTCAAACCTCCCTCTTCTCAGGCTTGGAAACAGCTCCGGAAGACCATTTGGTAGCACTCTGTGACGTGCTGCTGMATGACTACCACTTCCCTCCCCCAAATCCACTTTTCTTCTGATGAAGACGAGCAGGGATAGTTTGGATTTACATTCAAGGTGCATCAGATTCWTTCACTATCTGTGCACAAGGCATAGGCAGCACAGCAAGTTAGTCCCAGCAGAGATTCCCACCTATCCGATTTTGGGGCTCTCTGCACCAGCTCCCTCGGCCAGTAAAGACAATCTCAGCCTCCACAGCCACAGAAGACAAAGTGGAAGAGGCAGCAGCTGCCGCCTCCAGCAGACAGGAGTGTCACCAACCTGGGGATGCTGCACAGGTAGAGCAGCAGGCGCACGAGCTCGTCCGTGTTGCAGTGGGGGTTCAGCCACGCTGTGCTCCTCGTTGTTATGATGGCCACGGCCCGGCCCGCTTTATCCCTAGTACCTGTCAAAGAAAAACACCTCAGAGGAAGTCAAGCTACCACAGTTCGGTTCCACAGTCTCAGATACCCCTATTGCCACCCTTGTTGCATTCCCTAAAACACCCCACAGGGCTAGAGATAGTGCGTGCTGCACACAGGCAGATCCCAGTGGGCTATAAATACATTTCTGAAGCACCTGGCTGCTGCCCAAGAGTGAAGTAGCTGAGCTCTCTACTTGTCCTTGTCTYGGATGAACTTGGACTGCTCTCCTCTAGACAAAAAAACACCCTGCATTCTTAACACCATAAGGACCCAACTAATGATAACTGCACCGCTGGCTTTTGGGCAGAGCAAGAATCTCCTAAGCCCAAAAGAGACAATCTCACGGTCACTTGTGTGACCCCAAACAGCCCATCACAACCACACGAGTGCTGTCAGCCTCCTGTTTCTCTCCTTCCCCAACACCCTGTGCTCTGTGGTGCTACTCTTGAGGAGTGAAAACATCCAGGTTTTCCTTAGTCGTGAGGTGCTGCTGCAGGGGAAAGGCCTKGGCTTCAGCTAGTGATGGACACTGTTCCCTGCCCTCTGCTTGCCACAGGAGCTGAGCTGGGGGCTCCCCAAACTACACAATAATCTCACTTTAGACTTCACCACACTCTGCCTACCCAGTTGCAAAGGGCAGGAATTTGCTACCMCAAAAGCAACATTTCTGCCATTGCAGCCACCATAAGCTCCAGCTGCAAAGGGCAGGTAAAGCACAGGACACCCCAGCTCAGAGAGCCGGAGCCTTTTCCCTCGTTCCCACCGCTCGCCGAGCAGGCCAGGCCCACGGATCACGTCTGGCCGGGCCCTCGGCTCTGCAAGCCGGCACGTCACGGGGAGATCAGTGCGGTGGATAACGGCGAGGACCACCCCGCTATTGTGTGCACAGTAACTCGCCAAACTACTAGTCATTTCCTGGCATACAAATAGCACGAGGGRAAAAAAAAATTCCCAAGAACAAAACAAAATCACACGGCCTAAAGGGAGCCACACTTTGCTCTCTCTTCCACGCTTTGTCGGCACCGTGCAAAGTAACTGTCCTGGATTTGTCTCCCTGGCTTAGGGACAAGGAAGAGCAGGGAAAGAGATACAGCTGGGCAGCCTTAAATCCCAAATCCTTCCCTGCTGTGACCTCAGTCTGTCCCCGATGCAACCTGAACAAGGCCCACAGACCCACACGGGCCACGTTTGAAAGCGTCATTAGAAGAGGACGATAACTGAGTTCAGGAGAAACCTTTTTACTCTGAAGCACCTTCTTTTCTTCATCAGGAAGGCTGGGTACTGCTGGAACTTGATTAAAGCTCTTTGTAGGATCCTGGGAAGTACCTGATCAAATCAGAAGACCATCCCCAGCTATCAGGGTCACCAACAGTGGCTGTTTGAACCGAACAATTCAAGACTGCATGAATGAAATGCTTCTCAAAGGAGAGTTTCTTCCTCGATCCATCAGTTATTAATTTGTTATTATTTCCTGTTCCCTATAAAATTTATCCTCGCTAATGTAATTATTGTACTTAGCATTTAATTGAATGATGTGGGCTGCCCCTTGGGTATCTGTCCTTTCATATTTCAGCAGGCAATGGTCACGCACAAGAGAAGTTAATCAGGCCAGTATTGCTTCTCCAGAGAGTCTATTTCTCCTTTGGAGCAAAAGCTCCTCACAAAACCAATCATTTGTCTGGCTGAGCTACACACCATAAACACATCCAGTCTGATGAGCAGATGAAGAGGTAAAAAGCAAAGTTATACATTTGAATGTATCACGACTTACCTCTGCGCCTGGTTTCTTATTCTAACTTTTCCCAGAATACTCAAGTCTTTTAGTSGGTCCTTTATTTCCATGTTTATGAGATCTTTCACCTCATTCTCATATTTTTTAGGAGATTAACAAACTTCAAGTGTCTTCCAGAAGGCATTCACTTCAGTTGCATGAAAGTGTTGTATCACCTCCAATTTTCACGATTTTCTTGCAGAATGAGGACTTTAGAAGAAAATGAGGGCACCAAATTGTCCTTAACAGCCCAAAGTACTAGAGAGGTCTCTCCAATACATATAGAGAGGTGGAATCATGTTCTTGATGTACCTGGTCATCTGTGCTCCTTTACACACATCACGGCAAACCAAGTCTTGCGGTCTCATCCCTCAGCGCGCGAATCCATCGCTCCCGTTCCCATCCCCTTCTCAGCAGGCAGCCCTGTCCGTTTTCTTTCCTCTCAGGATGATTTTCCACTCGAAAATGGCTCCCGAGCAGACTGAATGCAGCTGTCCCCCTGACCCGCACTGGACCTTCCTTCCTGATCCGCTCTTTCCAGCTACGGAAGGAAGCCAGAACGGGCTGCGGGAGCAGATGTCGCCGAGCGGCTCCGTTTCACACCGTATCCACCAGAGAGAGAGCTCTCCCTTCCTCTGATTAACCTGATGGTTGGTTAAATACAGACCTCTAGCTTGTGCCCTGCACATCAAGCAGTACTCACCGCTCTGTGCAGCAGCCTCAGCTTTTTTCTTCACTGCTCTAGCAAGATTTGGCCATTGCAGAAGTTTGATACTTGCAGCCACATAGATGCACAAACTGAATCACGTTCTAGAAGTGATCCTGGCAGAACAATTCTGGGAACCCCTCCCTTGAGGGAGGGTTGAGTCACCAGCTATTTAGCTGGGCTTTTATTCACCCCACAAGCTGCTCATCTGCCCTGGGATACTCCTCTCCCCACCATGCTGGGCAGCACAAAATCCACCATTTTATAAAAATCTATTATAGTTACGCAGCTACATTTAACCAACCGAACGCCTAATTACGAAGCCCAAAACTGGTTTTACAAGAGCCCTGTCAAGTGGCATCTTCTACACCCTGCTCCTTTAATTATCCACCAAGTGAGTCAGGTTCCTGCTGTCTTGAGCGGGTCTGATGTCAGGTCCCCCAGCCCAGCACTGGCTGCATCCTCATCCTTCTCCTTTCGGGCTGCTGGTGTGAGCTTGGACACTTAAGTTAGGCTTTTCTATCAATCCCTAAAGGACCCTGGGAGCAAGTTAATGAGATTTTCTTGAAAAAGTTCTGATCTGCAAAGGTTTGGTGTTGAAAAGGGCAGGATTTGTGCAAAAGATGTGCAAAGAGAAGCACATCTGCCCTGCCCTCCTACAACAGCAGCCTTCCCAGGCACGTAGCTACTCACCGGGCAGGCAGGCAACTCCACTCCTGAGAACTTCTAGGTTCACATCCTTGGCGATGGTGGGGGCAGATCGACCCCCCCAGGTGGTCCCAGAAGCTGGGGGTGTCACAGGAGCAGCAGCTGCCGAGGTTTCCTGGAGGACTTTCCCCACTGGCTTCAAGGCATCAGTGTCAGTGGCTTCTTTTCTCGTCTCTCCCCCTTCTGACATGGGCCCTGCAAGAGGAGCAGCAGTGAGAAGCCAGAGCGCAGCCTCATTCCAAACGCTGCCAGTAAAAAGCAAGTTACAACGCCAATGTTCCTCTTTTGAAAAACAAATAAAGAAACCAAGCAATTTATTGTGAAGTTTGAAGTTACAACTCATTTAAGACCAGGATTACTGGATTCAAAGACTTTTTTTTTAAGGTAACCTCTCAAGCAGGGCACATTTGCTGGCAGCCTCGGAGTCTGGAGCGTTCAAAGGCCCTGGCTGAGCTCCAGCAGTCTGAGCTCACTGAAGGGATAAAGCAGCTCCTGCCAGGGAAAGCTGCTCTGCTGCTGCAGAAATCCCCCCCAACACACTCGCACATTTGCTCTTGAAAATAAGAAGCCGCCTAAAGGTTGACAAATCAGCTGGGAAGTGGCCAGTCCAGAGACCGTGTTCTTCTCTTCCAGATTTGTTTTAATTAGCAGCTAATGTGAAAGGCAAAAACCTCTTTTAAAACCCTGAGGAACAGGATGCCAAGGCCAAGCAGCTCTGYCTCAGAACTGGAGGAAACGCTGCCTTTGCGGGACGCCTTGGCTCCAAAGCGCGAGGTTTGAGAACCATTTGCATCCCAAATTCAGTACCTTAACAGCCCTACCTTCCCACAGGAAAACTAAAGCCAGTTTCCTCATTTTGTTTTTCAATTTTCACGTACACCTAGATGGAGAGAATTAGAATTCCCCCTGTGGATGCAAGAAATACTGTTTCCCATCTCCCAGCAGAATTACAATCCTCCAACACACGACATGGCTTTAATATCCTAAGCACACAGCTAGGATACGCCTCTGCCTGGCAGGAAGATATACTTGGGAATAACAGCTACACTCCCTGCAATWTGAGACACTTCAGCATCGAGCAAAAAGAAGAAAAAAAAATCAACCTCATTTCAGGCAATCCAACCTCATTTCAGAGTGTTTGCTTGCTTGCTCTGAAGTCACACATTTTAATTGCTGCCTAAAATGGACTTCAACCATCCTCCACGCTGCCGTGATTTGACTCAGTTTATTTACTAACAAACCCAAATGCTTCATTAAAGAGCAGGGCTGGGAACAAAGCAGCCCTTGAAGTGGCTTTSCCGGCAAGTTTTAGCACCGGGGGAGACCTGCAGGTTGAGGCTCAGCCCCAGCTGCTGTAGAAACTGCTCCAGGTCGGGGAGAGAAGTGTCCTCAGCAGCAGGATTCGCCCGGCAAAGATACCAGGCAATAGAGGGGAAACAAGAGGGGCTGCAGGCACCACCAAGGCCACGACGCAGCATCTGCCCGTTGCTCTTTGGTGACGTCCCCTCCAGGRAGCACCCTTGGGAGCCCACTCGGGCCACATAAGTTAGGGCAACAACTTGAGGGTCCCACAAGCTCTGGCCACCAGCCAAGGTGACAGTGCTGGAGCCTTTGGCCAGGAGGTGACCTCATGGAGCTGTGTGGCCTCCAAACCACCTCAGTCTTGCCCAAAMTGCAAAAAGCAAACAGTCAAGCTCCAGTGGGGTGGCCCAGTTCAGAGCAGCTCTGCCTACCTCCCTTGGACCAGGCATGAACACTCTTTTTACGTTATTYGCAAGCGAGAGGGGAGGAACTTCTTTCCCAAAGCCCAAGCTGCATGACACAGAGGACTGCATCAAAAAACTGGAACATCTGAATTGGACATGCTTGCGGGTTACACCTTTCCCCGAGGTAAAGGAAGCGGGAGAGGAGGATTTGCTCCTATGCATTTCAAAGAGGCAGGAGCAGCCTGCCTGCAACCATCCCAGCTCCACTGTTATCTATGGTAACATCAGGTAAAAACAGCGAGCAGCGCTGCAATGCCCTAGCAGGTGCTGGATACACCCCAAAGGGGCTTTTCATACAGTTTCTTGAATATCAAGTTATTTTCACCCCGCCCAARTAAATGAATTTGTCCTGATCCGTAAAGTCCACAGATGCACATGGAACCAGGGGAAATTTTCAATTCCCAACTTGAAACACTTGATTCAAAATCTTTCCCAGGGACAGTACTATATCTGCAGTACAGAGGATAAGCTGAACCAGTGACTGGGGGTGGGAACAAGGCAAAAAAGGGCTAAGGAAGAACCTGTAGATGCAGCAAATTCAGATATTCTAGTCCTACATGTGTTTGTTAATTTAGTCTATTTAATAAAGAAATTCCTGTGCATCTGCTTTCTACTACTGACATACTGCATCAGAGGAGCTCAAGAATTGACCTAGTTGTTCTTTATAGTTAGTCCCAGCAACAGAACAACCCCAAGACTAAAGACTACCAGGACTCCCTCACCTACAGCCTGAACAGCTGGCAGTGAAAAGACTCTCTGAAGGATATCCCTCTGGGATTATATCTCTGAAATTTTACTCTTGGAGGTTTGACAGGGTTTAGGTACAGGGAGGTGAAGGCCTCGGTGAAGAACGTCAGCAGCCAGTGCCTGCTTTGTGGCACTAGCAGCTTTGTGGCTGCTTTCTTCAAGGAGAAAGGCCATCCAAGGCATCACTTCAGTTTTTACACTAGCTCTAAGGTTCTCGAGCAGATCCTGGACTGTGCTCTGGCAGCGTGGATCCACACCTCCGGCCCTTTCAAGTCTCCTCCTTTTAATATTTCCAGCCTGGGGAATTTTCCTAGCCGGGGGTCGTGGGCAACGAGAGCTGCTGAACCGGAGCGGCCCGTTCCTGCCGCCCCCGCCGCGCACACGCTCCGTGCTCTCTGCCACCTGCACCTCCAGCTGCAGCTCTGCAGAGCCAGCAAAGCCAGGCACAGTCGGCAGCATCTCCATGGAGCTACACACGGCTGCCTACAGCCTGCTGCAAGGGGCAGACACAYGCTGACACTCGGACTATTCCAAAGAAACACCGTTTCGGCGCAGGCACCCAGCTGCCAAAAAATCTGGGTGATACCTGCCTGAGGCTGAACTGGGGTTGCGTTTGCCTTGAAAGTGGGTGCTTAATTTCTTACTGTCTTCATGTTCCCACTCTGAATTGAAAAAAAATCAAGTTAGCTTCTCCACTCCTGTAACACAGCCCTTACTTGAAACATAACCGAAGTGAGGAAGGCTTGGAAAAGGGGAGAAAGGGAGGGGGGAAACTCTCAGCTCTGCAATTTGCTTCTTACTTTGCTTACCAACACCCACCTTTGTTGATCTCTGAAAAGAAAAAGCTGCGTTTCAAGCCACAAAACTAAAACCCAAAACACTTCCAGCAGTTTTTACTATTCCCCCAACGCTCCCCAGCAGGCAGCATTTGTCAGAAGCAGCTCTCGAGGCCTTTGCTTTCTGCCCACACATCCACCAGGTAACTCCACAAAGCTCCAGTTCTGCCATACCTGCAGGAGATGACATCCCTGAAGCTGCCTCTCGGTGGGAGTGCAGGGCGGTGGGATCCATGTGTCCCTCAACAGGTCCTGAGGACAGCAGTCCAGGTTCCAGTTCTTCTTTAATGGATTCCAGTGTTTTCAAGGCCACACACTCACTCTCAATCTTTGACTTTTTCCCCTCAGAAACACTTCCCTGGTCCTCCTCTCCTCCCAAGCCCTGTGCTGCAACAGGCTCTGCTCTCAGCACTGAGTCCACTTCACTTTTACTGCCCTGGTTTTCTGCCTGACTTTGTGGCTCCTCACATCTCTCTCCATTCCTGTGTGTTTTGACTTCACTCGAGCTTTCTGGCTGTGCATCCACGTGCACTGAAGAACTGCTGTTATCTAAGGGTTCTGCCTGCTGATCGCTCCCTGCTGCCAGGGCTTCTTCAGCTCTCTTATGCTCACAGGCAGCGATCTCTTGCTCTTTATCTTCTGACATGAGTCCATCCACTGGACCTTTGACAGAGCAGTCATTATGGCTACTCTGATTCTCTTTTGGAGTCCACGTTTTCTCCATCACTTCGACTTCCTCGGAACTTTCTCTTCTTTCCACCTCTAATTCATCTAGTTTCTCTTGGTCTAACAGCTCTGGAGGATTTAAGGAAGAACTAAGATTTGCTTCCTGATAAGTGCAGCAGCCACCTGCCCTGTCATCCGATGATGGGAAGCCTCTCTCCACACCCACGCCTGAACTCTCAGCTGGGGAGAGCGGCGCAGCAGCCTGGACTGCTCCAACGGTTTCACTGACACTCTGGCAGGAAACATCAGAATCTGCCCTGAGAGCACAGACAGGTCTGTAAGACCCAGTGACAGACTCAGGACAAAGATCCCCTCTTGCCACCTCCTTCAGGCTCTTTGCCAGTGGTTCTCCAAGGGCTCTCTTTATTGACTCCTCGTTAGCAGCAGCAGCAGCATCTAGGAGCATTTCTGGACTCTGCACTGCTGTTTCAACACCGGATTTTCCACTAGAAACATCGCTTTCCAGCTCTGTGTTTCCAGGAGCCCCAGCTGGCCGTGCTTTGCAGCCAAGGCCATCTCCAGCACACACGTCGCTGTAGCTGCACAGCGCGTACTGCCAGTCTAGTGAGTGTTCACCACAGCCCTCCTGCTCTGCAGGAGACTGATCCTCCACCCTGCTGGCAGGAGGCACAGCCCCAGGAAAGTGATTGCCCATGTTCCCTGCGCCACCTGATTCCAGCTGACCTTCAGGAAACGGTCCACCATGTGCCATCATCTTGTTGCTTTCCAGAGCAGCTACATTGTCGAGAACTTCTGCAGAAGTCCTCAGAGTGCCCATCTGATGGACCTCTTTCTGTGCAAATGCAGGCTGGCTTAAGCTCTTGAAGTACGTGCAGTCTTGAATGACAAGAGACCTGCGCGTGCCCTTAGGTGCACTCACTCTTGTTCTAGGCTCAGTTCTGTAATTTAAAGCTAGTGACTGGGTTAAAGAGCCTGTTTGTGGCCCAAACCTGGGCAGGGAAACTTCTGCAAGTTCAACATACTCCCCTTCGAGGTCACTTTGCGAGTTCTCTTGAGGCACTGGGCTTGCACACACACCATTGACAACAGTTTKGCTTAGTTGTGGAGCTGCGCTGCTAATGACCAAGTTGTCTTCACCCAAACTTTGCWCCTGTAGATACTGAGAGCCTATGTCTGGTGAGCTGTACTCAGCATGGTCCATAGGGTGGCACAAAACGGAAAGCTCTTCTCTAATTTCTGGAGTGAAGATATTATTTTCAATTATCTTGGGTTTATTAATAAATTCAGGCTTAACTACCTTCTCCCAGGGAACACGAAATATTTTATCATTAGTGGTTAGTAAACAGTTTTCCAGTGCTATACCCATGCGCTCTCCATTGATAGTACTCAACCATTCCAGCGTAAAAATAGAGGTATAGGAGACTTCGGGAATCACAATCTCTTCCACGTTGTGTTGGTCTTTCGCCAGACATTTCAGGACAACTCGCGGGGACTTCTTCAGATAGGGAACCACCTGCAGGTAGAAGTCACCGGGCTTTAAGATTCGCCAGTCGAGGGAAGCTAGTTGGACTACAATCTTCTCGTGAATACATAGGGGCCAGCCCTCGTGCCGGAAGAGCAAGCCACAGTACTGAACCTATGGAGAGAAAAGAAGGTATTTTCAGTGTCAGGAACMTACCTCACTTTGAGGTTTTGGACAGAAGAGATGAACGCTAAACTGTGAAAGGGAAGCTCTAGCAATGACATGGTAATGGATCTTTGGTAATTAGCACGGGGGAGCTTTCCATTTTGAGGTGYTTCTCTAAAAAACTGCAATAGAAAGGACTGATAAAAAGAAACATTATCTGGAGAGCAGCCCTAAGCATGTGGCATTAAATGTAGGCAGAGAGCAGCTGGCTTATAGGAAACAACGCACAGAACCCCACTATGCTCAGCTAAAGTCCATCCACAGCCTGAACAGAAGGTGCCCAGATGATCTGCATTGCTTGTGGAGTGTCTACAGCGAGCTCCAGGTTGCACCAGGTGGCAAAAGCCACCACAAGGAGCTTACAGATGCAGAAGTCTCATGACATGGGATATATCTAGCCAAGCTGGCACTGGAAAACTGTAGACTCTTTAGACTGATGTTGATGGAAGGGAACTAAATCAAGAGCTTTGCCAACGAGGCAAGGCTGAATGAAAATATTAAGMAAAGCGTGTGTGAGGATTTTCTTCTGCTCCCACACGTGTACTGCTAGGGCATGAGGCCCAGCAGACTTTGGCTGAACCAAATTAAAGAGCACAGAACCAGGCAGAAAGCAACTCTCACGTGCTGCTGTCAAGAGCTTACGCAAGAGAGGGGAAGACAAGTTCTGCGGGACTCGGCAGCGAGAGGATCGCCGCAAGTGAGCGGGAGGAGACGTCAGGAGAAAGCAGGAGAAAGAAGGCAACGGACGAGGAAAAAGCCACGAAGAAACAGGCAACTGGGTGCCATCAACCGCCTGCAGGGAACTACACCAAAACTCAGGGCATTTCCTTCCCCCACGCTCTCCCCCAGCAGACCAGCATCAACACCCTTAACACAACACACCCGCAAACAGAGCAGCTCCCTTTGCACAACTGAACTGCTCACAGGCAGTCCCCTGAGATCCTCTGCTTCCCCATAAGTTGTTAAGTCCAGGGCTACCAGCTACACCTTATTTATCCTTTATTTAAGGATAAAATCACTTAATAAAGTGATCCTTTATTTAAGTCTCCTTTACAGATACTTCGCACTCAGCTGTTCCGGTAATCTGGATCTTGTTGGTAATTGCTTTTCACTCAGCAATTCCCATCACAGGCTGAGATCTACCTCCCCATTTTTAAAGTACTAGTCATTTTTGGTTCACATTAGCAACAAAAAAAAGAAAAAGAAAAAAGAAAAAAAAAAAAGAAATGAAAATCAAATGGAAGTGTTAAAGAGCGCGGGCCTGCTAGGCACATACCTGCCCAACGAAGTTTTCTTGCTGATAGCCACGTTTTGAATGCTAGCAGGTTTATTTATCGTCTCCGTTCCAYTTTTGTGCTAAAAAGCCCTGTTACAGACATTCTTCTCATTCCCTAGGCTTGCAAGAGTTGGCCTGAGCATCCCACTTCCTCTTAAATAATGGCCAAAAATTATCTGTCTTCTAGTTCTCTACAAACCCTTTTTTATCCCAAACATGAAATCCTACACCTACCCAAGTGAAAGAAATGAAGTGCCACTGCTGAACTGACCTGCCTCCAAACTATTTAAAACTTAAATCACAACTTTAACAAAATAAAATGACTCCTTTGAACTTGCTTCCATTTGAGCAAACTAAAATTTAAAGCCGGCCATGGCATAAGCCATGACATTAGCCATAATTTACTTCTAGTCCTGTGATTTACTTCATTTTCCACTGTCATGACGAGGTCTTAGATAGAATTTTCCTGCTCAGGACGCAATTAGGAAGCTGCCATCTAGAATCACCAGGGACTTCTTCAGTATTGGCAGCATTAGGGTTCAAGCACTCAATTGGGTTTCTTTTACACAGTCACAGGGAAATCTGGACAGAGAAAGCAGTTTACAAATACGCTGTATTCCGCAGACCAGCTGGATGAAAAAAAGAATGCATTAATTCAACTCTTTTGCCATATAGCAGAGAAACCACAGAGCGAGAAGGAACCTCCTGAATCCTCTATCATCTTGAAAAAAACAGGTAATAGTAACAAGTAATTTCTGGCTTACGTTTATCATGTTGTGCACCATGGCACCAACACTACCTATCTCTACCAGAAACATCTCATTCCCTAAAACTGAGATCTTACTCGTCTCCACCACTGTCCAACACAGTCACCTGCTACGCCTGCTTTCCAAGCTATAAATCCCAGTGCATAAGTAYTTTTTCTACAAAGTTTTACTGCTCATCTCATGTAATATATTTATCTGTTTTTATTGCTCACGTCATAGATTTGTTCCACGGCACTTTTCTGCCATCAACATATTCTTCCTTTTTATACYAAAAAGTATCATCCATCTCATGACTCTGGCCTCCAACTCAATTTTTCACTAAATCTCCTCCTTTTCACCAGCTTAGTTACCCATTCTGCAGTGCTTACATAAACCTCCACCCCTTTGACAYAGTAATTCATTTTCCATGTGATTACACAATAAATCCTCTGCAGAAGAAATTAGACAACCAAACATGTCTTTCTAGACAGACGGATATTCATGAAAAAGGCGAGCCYGACACTACCTGCCACAACACAAACCACATGAAAAAATTTATCCCATTTTTAATGGCTTGGTTAACCCTCATCCTGCTCAGCTTGTTAAATGTATTTTATTACCATCTCTGACAYGACAGATTCGGTAAAAACTCCCTGTTATCAGAAATTTAGCATTAGGTGGCAACCACTTCCATAGCGCAGGATGAAGATCAGCTGGCCCCCTCATCTTCAGCACTCACATTCTCAGTTTAGTCCTCGCAGTTKGGTTTCTGTTTCCTCCATCCACCTCCTTTTGTCTTTTAAATTAAAAAAAAACACCTACAACTTAAAACAATTTGCCTGTACCTACCTCGAAGTCAAGAGGAGCTGAGCTTTGCAGTCTCATACGCTTACGCTTTCTGATCTCCAAGATAAGGATTTCTCTACAGGCTAACACTTTTCTTACAGAGCATGGCTGAATTTAGATAACCAAAGCCTCCTCTTACAGGAACATTCCACTTACAGAAGTTGCTGTAGGCTTCAGAAGTCTCTGGACCTACTCTGCACATTTTCCCATCATGGCATCTCAGGCAACAGAGCTTGCAGAAGTGTCGRAGCCAAATATTTTGTATATAAAGCTTTAGACAAGCCCAATTTGCATTATTTTTTCCAGAAGAGCCTGTATGACTGCACCTCCACCACACTCCACCAACCGTTTTTCTGATATTGGCATATGAGAATATTTCCTAATAGGTATTTTCAGGCCATCTACACCCATTTCGGGGGGTGCAGGTGACCCGTTTGCCTACTGACAAACAACAGACAGAAGAACTTAACAGTAACTCAACAATCACAAGAGCACAACACAAAATCCACCAAAGTTCCCAACAAACCTGCAAAGTAATAGTCTAAACTGCAGCGAGAACTGGATTAAAACCCAAGCGGGAATGTCGAGTCCTTCGGTAGCATAAATATTCCAGTATTTTTAGTGCTTCTAAAGTGGAGCATCCCCTTGTGTCTCCTGCTTCAAAAAGCACCTTCAAAGGGGAGATTAATGGAAGGGGCTTATTTCAGTTGTTTTAACATTTCACTTTGAGGTTTAAGTATTTGCTTTTCTCGTGTGCAGTCGGTGGCAGAGCCAAATCAGGCCAGTTAGGGCAGTGCTGGGAACAGGCACTGCGTGCAGCAGCAGCAGCCGGGAAGAAGCCTGGGAAAGAGCTGGGTGCTGATGACAAATTCCACACAAAGATCCTAATTCCAAGAGGATGGCTGGGCTGGATCATACCCGTGATCCRCTTAGCTCAGGAGTCTGAAGGCTGGTGGCAATACTGGACTCTCAGTGCTATGAGGAAGAACATTCTCCGCACAAAGGCACCTCCAACAACCAGATCCCGTGGTTTCTATCCAGACTACCGGTTTTCTTACATCTATCTGAAGTCAGCTAATACCTTATAAAGCCACTTACATTTCTGCCACTGTAGAAGCTGAGGAAAACGACTGAGCTTGCTCCAGATTTCCTACAGCGATGACATTTTTACTTTGTGGCACGTAGGAAGTGCCCACGAGGACCAGCTGAACTGCAGACTACAGAGAATGACAGGAAACACTGCTTTTTGTTTGGCTGCAGACAGATATTTGGCTAAACGTGTGTAGGGTTTTTGACAAAAAGTATTTCCAGAAGAAACTACAAGAGTTTCTTCTGCATCCCTCACCAGACCTTTTCCTGCCACGAGCATCATTCCTAACAGGTACTTTGAGGCTGTTTAAAGAATAAGCACAGTCCTGTTCTGAAAATGAAGATAATAGAAAGGGACTGTGGTGGCCTGGAAGGAAAAGGAGGGCTCCACAACAAACGCAATAATTTTGAGCAACAAAATTTAACGTGAGCAGATTTCTGGGGAAAATACGGCATAGGCCAGGCCCTCCCGTGAGGCCATTACAAGGGAATGGACCTGAAGCTCTCCCTGTACCATGAACTGGGGCCAGAAAGGGTTGGCTGTGAGCAACGAGGGGCGCGAGGCTCTGGCTGAGGCCTCCGCGAGGCCTGTCCATGCTCCCGCAGGAGCCGGTGCCACCGCGGGGCTCACGCGGCCCCTCAGCGCCCCCGGCTCCTCGGAGCTGCCTGGGCACTGCCAGGCCGGGGGGGTCAAAGGAGCTCCCTGTTGGTGCTCCTGTGCCAGGGACGGCTCTGGGAGTGCCGGCACGGGGGCCTCCCCGGCGGCACACGGGCCCACGCCACGGCCGCCCCTCGGCGGCGGCCATGTCGAGGCGCGCGGGGCAGGAGGCCGCGCCGCCCGTCCCCGCCGCTGTCCCCATGGCCGGCAGCCCCGTCGCCAGCCCCGTTTCCCCAGGCCCCATCCCCGCTGCCCCGCGGCGCCATCGCTGCCCTCACCGCAGCTCGGCCTCCTCACGCGCCTTCGCCACAGCCCCCGGCCCAGCCCATGCCCATCAAGGCAGCCCCGCCCTCTGATTGGCTGCCGCAGCCCGAGCTGGCCCGCTCATTGGCTGCCGCCCAKGCCCAAGCCCCTCCCCTGCCACGCCCCACCTGTGGCCTCCTCCAGGGAGGCCTCTGGCCTCAGCGCGGCCATGGCGCCGCGCGGCCTCCGCGGTGTCCCCAGCGCTGCCCTGGCACCGCCGGGCTGGCACGGGCGGCTGCCACGGGGCTCTACGTCCACCCCCCTTCTCACCACCCTCCTCCATGCCCAGCCTCACGGGCCTCCCCGGTGGCGCTCACCGTGGCCTCCATCTTGGGCAGGGCAACGCCGTAGACCGAGCTGCAGGGCTCGGAGAGTGGGGACCTGGGGGAACTGCCTAATCCCGACTTAAAAAGAAAAAAAAGTTTCTTCTGAGGGGGAAGCATGTCCTGCGCCATCACGCTAGATAGGGCAGCTGGATTCACGGTCGGAGTCATCCCTGCCCTTACGCCTGGCAGCTGAGCAAGCACCGTGCTGCTTATTAGGGTTTTATTTTAGATGTACTGCGGTTGAAAAAAGAAAAAAAAGGAAAGGGAAAAAAAAGTAAAATTAAAAATAGAAACCTAACTATAGCTGCTATGGAGCTATATAAAAAGGCCAGTGAATCTGTGCTTGAGCCTCACCGTGACACTTGGGGATTCAGCAAAGTCGCTCGGTGCTGGGTACGAGCTGCAAAAATCAACTTTGCAGACACACTGCTTGGTGACTCCCAAATCCTCCTCCGTCCTCCCTGCAAGCCCGTGCAGGGAAGTCCAAAMCACTTGCAGGGTGGCCTGCGCTCGGGGTGGTTATGCCTCTGCGTAACAGAGAGGTGTTTCCCCCAGCGTCTTCCTGCTCCTTGAAACAAATGAACATCTGCCTATCCCAGCTTCTATTTGGGTTTTTTTCTTCTCCCTCCATCCAGGAATCCCTTGCTCTCCCTCTCTTCCCTTGAAGAATTTAACACACTCATTCCCTAGGTTCAAATAAATAAATAAGCTAGAGAGAATCGTAGATTTAGGTTAGTTTTGCTTCCTCCCCCTGCCTCTGCCTCCGAGTTTTGGAGCCAAGTTTGGCAGAGGCATCTGACTCATCGGTGCGAGCATTTGAGACGCGCAACAGCCAAGCGGGTTAATGTGGCGCTCGCCGTGGCGGTAAATGTAACGTGACTCCCCGGGGCTACTGAGCCTCGCAGCCGGCAAAGAGGAGGGAGAGCGGCGGGGAAAAACCCCGGAGCGGCCGCGCGGCGCCCAGCGCGGCCCTGTGCYGGGGCAGCAGCCCAAGGGCTTCGCCGCTGCCGCCAAGGAAGGGCTGGGGTAGAAGCTACAGGATTCGGGTATATCCAGCAAAGCGTTGCTGCGGTGCAGGCATGGAAAGCGCGGGYGACGCTCCAGATCTGCCCTCCGCCGGGCAGATTGCAGCCACGGTTCCTCAAACCGCTCCAGTGCTGCAAACTTGCCCTCCCACCGCTGCTTCCAGCACGTGCGCAAGCGCTTTTTGCCCACCCTTTTCCACGGCGAGAAGCCACGGCAGGCTCCCCGGGGCGGCTGTACTCACACAGGCATCCTGCTGAACGCACTGCAGGATGTGCTTCGCTGGGATCAGGAAGTCTATGAGGTAGCGCAGTCCATCTCCACGGTACGTCTTCTCCACCACGTCCAACACTTGGCACAGCACGGTGGCCGCGGTGGCCTCGAACGGAGGGTAGAGCACCGATAACGTGCTCTGGATGCAGCCGTCCAGCGACTCCGAGTCCTGCCAAGGGAGACGGCGTTAGCGGCACCGCGGCGGCTCCCGAGCGCGCCCGTATCCGAATGCAGGAGGATCAAAGCAGCAAAGCGCCGTCTCTTGGAGTTTCTTTTGGCACTGGCCAAAATTTTAGGTTAAAAAAAAAGGAATAAAACAAAACCCCAGCTCGCTGGAGACGCCGGGGAAGCGCTGGCGGAGCGCTGCGCGCCGCGGCAAGATTGCCCGGCTTTTGCTTACGCAGCAAGTCCCGCTCCTGCCTGCGCTGGGTGGGGCTCCTATTAAACCATTACCGCAACACGTGAGCGCAGGCAAGCGGGCGAGAGCGTCATGGGGCGCGCAAAGCCGCTGCAGCAGCCCGGGCTGGGAACGCCGGCCGCGGTCGGGGACGTTCCCCCGCGCCGCCGGCCGAGGGCACTTGCGGGAGCAGCCGGCGTTGCTCGGCGTGCGCCGCTCTGTCATTGAGTCATTGTCACTCTCACATTGCCCACGTGGAGCTTTGGCGCCAGGGAGAGCCCCTTTCCTGCTCCGTATCAGAGCTGGTGGTTTCGCCGCCTTCCCCTTCCCTCTCGAGGACCTGCCAGGCGGAGCCTGCCCGYGCTGCCAGAGCCGCTTCCAGTCCTGGAGGCCAAATTCAGATGCACAGCATGGATGCAAACCAAGAGCAAAAGCGGGCAGAGAGACAGAAAGGTGGGAGAAGTAATGGTCCACATTTGCAGAGAGGCTCAGGATCCCTCTGCRCCTTTATATTTTAGAATGGTTTCACTTCTTGAGCTGTAAGCGAGCGCATGGTCATTGCTCCACCAGCTTCGTAAGGTGCCTCAGAGCAGAGCCTTCGCCAACCACCGCTCAGTGATCTTTAGTTTCTCATGTAGAGCACTGCGGTTTTGGAAGGACAACACTAACACCCTGCTCTGTGTTGAGGCCTTCCTTGGGCAGCTTTGCCCAGGAGGGACAGGGATGCCCAGGCAATGCCCTAAGAGTCTCGGCCTTCACCAAGCTTGGAGAACATGCACAAACCATCACTCTTTTACCATCCCTTCTGATGTCAGCAGCAAGCAAGGCTAAACGACATGAAGAAACCTTCTCAGTTTTTCTCAACTCAGTTTTGAGAGGCCATCTGCCTCCTGCAATACCCATCCAGGTCAACGCAACCATCTACACTGATGGTTAAGGTTAAGGAGTCRTTTTGTCTATCCTTAACCCTAGGACTTACAGAGCAAGAGCTCTATGTGCAACTCATGTGTTGAAATGGTAGGACGGAGCATTTGGTCCYAATAAGGACCATGGGATGAGAAACACAGACCGAAGAGGTCAGGCTAAATAAGAAGTGTTCCCTGTACACAGTATCCCGGACCCATTAAAAGAGGCGTGGAGAGGCCCACAGGATAGGGAAGTGGTACCAAAGCCAAAACAAAACCTTTCACAGCTGGACATCCAACTAGTGTTGCTAAATATTGACATAATGCGCCGAATGGGACATGTCCTCACCCTTGTGAAGCAACAAGAAGAAGCCAAATGCAGTCAGCCAAAGGAAGCTCACAGAATCATGGAGTGGTTGAGGTTGGAAGGGACCCCTGGAGATCATCTAGTCCAACCCCCCAGCACAAGCAGGGACACCTAGGGTGCATTGCACAGGACTGTGTCCAGACAGGTTCTGAGTATCTCCAAAGCATGAGACTCTACAACCTCTCTGGGCAACGTCTGCCAGTGCTTTGTCATCATCACAGTCAGGAGGGTTTTCTTCAGATTCAGGCAGAACTTCCTGTGCTTCAGCTTGTGGCCGTTGCCTCTTGTCCTATCTCTGGTCACCATTGCAACGAGTCTGGCCCCATCTTCTTGACACTCTCCCTTAAGGAACTGATAYGTGTTGATAAGATCAGCTCTCAGCTTTGCCTTCTTCAGGCTGAACAGGYGCAGCTCTCTCAGCCTCTCCTCACAGGAGAGCTCCTGCAGTCCCTGACCATCCTTGCAGCTCTGTGCTGGACTCTGTCCAGCAGCTCCATGTCCCTCTTTGCTGGGGAGCCCAGCCCTGGACACCGCACTGCAGCTGTGACCAGGGCTGAGGAGCAGGATCCCCTCCCTTGATCTGCTCTTCCTAATGCACCCCAGGAGAGCACTGGCCCTCTTGGCCGCAAGGGCACGTTGCTRCCTCACGGTCACCTTGGGGTCCACCAGGACACCCAGGTCCTTCTCCGCAGAGCTGCCTTCCAGCAGCTCAAACCCCAGCCTGTCGTGGTGTCTGGCAGCAGGACCTTCACTCGCCTTTGTGGAACCTCATGACGAGGCTCCTCTCTCCAGCGTGTCCAGGTCCCTCTGAGTGGCAGCAGGGCCCCRTGGGGTATCAGCCACTCCTCCCAGCTCCGTATCCTCAGCTCCTCTGCTGCCGCCAGCCTTAGGCCTGTCCCAGCAAGCATCTTTGCCCTTGTCAACAGCTCTTCATGCAGGAGCCCTCCCGCCCAGCACCAGGCTCCAAGGAGAGCCCAGGAAAACACTCATGCAGTGCTACGGCTCGTGAAACTGGAGGGCACTTTCCACCTGTCCCTCTCCAGGCCACAGCCTCAAACCCTCAGTCAAAACCAGCTGGACGGTTTCTGCACTGCAGCTTYRGCCCCTCTTCTTCTTGCCCCGTTTGAGCAAAATCCTTTGGGATGGTAATTCTGCCTCCACCTCCCGATGAATCGGGTTGCGTTTACTCTTGCAAGCAAAACGGAGAAGTAAAAATATTTGCACATGAGTCACCGCGCGCGGCTCGAAGGTTCTCACACCATTCCTGCTGCCTTAGCAAAGCCTTCGCAGGACRATTATTAACATTGGCACCAAGCCAAAAATCCTTCCTATGGTTAAAATAAAGCAAGTCATATATTATYCTGCTTTTGGTGAGATGCAGAGAGGAACCGTAGCCTGTAGCTGTTGCAAAGTTCAGGGCTAACAGTGTCCTCCTTCACCCAGTCTTACCTCGCTCTGRCCACACTGTGAAAGCAGGACAGATGTGTGGACCTTGAAGGTACAGAGAGACGCTTTTGAGCTCTAGCATTAATGGATGGAGAAGATCATGTCATCAATCTCTCTTCTAATCCCACCCGAAAAGCTCCAGATATGGGAGCAACCTGACGCATTCCCCTGCAGCGAGGGTACAGSTGTCCTCTAGGGCGCTGCGGGGCCACCAGCATCCTTGGGCCGCTGCAGAAAGATGCACTGAGCTCTCCCAGGCCTCAGGCTGTCTCTGAGATGTTATTCTGAGGGCCAAAGAGCTCCCATGGGCACCAAGCGCTTCCTCTGGGTGCACGTCCTCCTCAGGTGACACCAGTCCATACAGACCATGATTGTCCCTGCTCCCCAGATCAGATCCCTCCTCACCCTGGCTGAGCAGAGCAGCAAAACCTCATGCTGGGCTCCCAAGGAGACAGGACTAACCCAGCAGAACCAGGCACAGGTGCCTCCTGCACAAAGCAGCCTCCTGCAGACCTTCCCTGTCTCCAAGAGCATTGCCACCTCGTCATCCTGGGAGAGGCCCCGGACACTCGCTCCTTTACAGGCACAGAAATAAACAGGAATCCTTTCCAGCCAACCCAGAGAACCTCTCCCCAAGCAGAAACAGTCTTGGGACTCAAGGGCTTTTTGTAAATAGCACAGGAAGCCTCTACACTCCAGTGCCCGGTCACYGCTGCCACACATTCACCACACCTCCTGGAGGAGGGACACGCTTTTAAAATAACTCTTCTGTAAATCAAGGCGCTAAATAAAGCCCAGGTTAAGGTCATGTCCAGACACACCAGTTTTCCCTGCTCCCCAGCTGGGAGCTGGCTGTTAGTGCAAAGGATGGAGCGCAGAGACAGGCATGGCAAGGGAAGAGGAAAAYCTCATGCTGGGACGGGCTGGGTTGGGTGGGTTGAGTGGGGTGGGAGACCAGGAACAACCCCGGATGGTCCCGCCTAAGAGGTCCCGCCTAAGGTCTTGGCCTTTTCCTAGGTGCACCTAGGACCACCAGGAGCTCATGCCATGCAACGTTTCTTTGTGCTGACAACCAAGAGACTCTGAAAGCTCTTTAAACCTACAGTGAGCTGGTGAGGCCACCTTGGAGTTGCCCAGCTAGCCCATGGCTACGGGCTCTGAGGGGCTGTGGTCCTTTCAGGCAGCCGGATTGGCCCCTGTGCTTCATCCTGCAGCAGCAATTTAGCAGGAGGGTCTGCAAAYCCCGTGCTGAAAAGCACCCCATCTCCACACCCATCCGGTATAGGAAACTACATATCCCAATGGGCCCGGCCGGAGCGGAGACGCTCCCTGGCTCTGGAAAACCGAGGAGCAGCAGGAGGCTGTGGAGCAGAGCCCAGAGGTGCGGGAGGGAGCAGGGCCCACGTGCCTCTGAGTCCCGGCCTCCGTCTGGGCTCCCACTCCAGCCTCTGAGTCCCGGCCTCCGTCTGGGCCCCCGCTCCTCGGAGCCGCCCGTGTCCGGCCCCTCTTTCCCTCCCCTGCTGCCCGGGAAGGGGCAGAGCTCCCAGCATGTGCAGGGCAGTGCCCGGCCGTGGCCCCGGGCCAGGATTTGGGATGGGCACCGAGCAGGGCCGGGTGAGCAGGTCCCTCCCTGCAAAAGCTGCTCTGGGGCTTGGCCGCCCGCTCAGGGCTCAGCTGACGGGAGAAACCTCTTTTCCAGTAAAAATAGACCTCCCGGCTTTCCACAGCCCTTGCCCACTTTCTGACACAAAGCGCAAAGCCAGGCCAGTTTTTCCTTTAAAAAATAAAAAATAAAAATTAACAAAAAAGAGAGAGAGAGAGAGAGAGAGAGAGAGAAAGTCTCTCTGTTCCAAAGGGTCTTTGGCTAAAACGGAGGTTTGTTTTCCTGGACAAAAATGTGAGCTGTCCCACTTTGTTCCTGCAGGGAGGAGAACCCTCCCATCCCCATTTCCTGAGCCGCTCTAATCACAGCGGCAATGAGTTCAAGGGAGAAAAATCTTSCCAGCACGAGCGCCAGCTCCGCTGCCGCCGCCGCGCTCGGAGGCTGGGCGGGA